AAGGTTGGTTTAGGGCTAGATCATTGTGCCTGGTGAAATTTGGTGATAATTCCTTAATTTCCTCAGCAAAAATCCCTGAGGTTCTTTCTACCCCAAAAATTAGGCATCTAGCTGAGTGTGAAAACTTAGCAAATTGTGTATGGTTTCTCTGATCACTAAGGAAATAATAATTACTTGATAACATGTTGCTCTGAACTTTATAGTGTACAGTTAAATATGTATCCCTGTTTTTTTTCTGGTGAGTCATGAAGTATTTTTGTATTTTTTATATTTATTCACAATTAGGTGGATGTTTTGGGCATTGCTAATCTTTTAATTGTTTGGTGCCATTAAGTATCATGGCCTGTATGTGATCTATTCTGCTACTGCTGGGTCATATTCTGATCACATTCCTAGTAAGAAATTCCCGTAAATGAAAGGGAACCAAGATGTCTCCTGCTGACCATTGCCCCATCCAGCAGCACATGGAGGTGGTCATGGAATGACAGCAGAGGTCTCATCAAGTCTTTTTGGAAATACAGACGTCTTAGTGTAATCACTTTAAAGACTGATTTACAAGGTTTTGTTTCATTTCCTTCTAGTCCTTTCCCTTCTCTTTTTATTGCTGTTTCCTGTGAATTGTGCTCTTCTGCTGCATTCACTTTTGACACCTTTGAGGCTGAGCTGGGGTTTTACATTTTATGGAGGCTGAAGTTAGTCCTAGGGGATGAAACATGTAATAAAGGAAGTATCTTCTGTCTGTCCTTGTTGTTCTTGACCATGGAAATGGGCATACCAAGCTGACTGCAGTGGGAGGAGTGTGTTTGCTGGGGATTTTCCAGGAGAAAACCCGTGGGGCAGGTGTTGACTTTGCTTTGACTCAATACAGGATTTAATGGTTTTGATATGTGCATGTTATCACAACTTAGGTGGAGCAATAATTGACTCTGAATGTCAGATTTTGTCCTCTAAAGCGGTGACGTCTTGATCTGGCTCTTTTTAAGTGGTATTTTGTTTTCAGTGTGATGTGGAGTGCTTGCTCAGGAGGTTTCACATATGTAACCTGGAGCAAGGTGCCTTTTTGACTCTGATAACTGTAGAAGGAACGTGATTCTGACAGATAAGTGTTGGTCTTGAATTTTTCCATTTTTTTTTTTTTTAACAAAGAACTCAGAACTTATTAGCCTTGCCAGCACCTGCAAGTCTTTGCTGCTTCCTTTGGTAGATATCCTGATTTTTGAATGTGTGGAAAATGCAGTAAGTCATCCTACTTTTTAATTCTAATATACTTATATTTTGGGATATATTTCAAACCAATGATAACAGTGGGTGTTTTAGGATTATTGTTGTATTGTCTGCTTTGCTACTTGTAAGTTGACTTGATATTTTAAAATTTTGGGAAGGTAGTAATATTTTAGGAGATTGCTTATTAGAGAAATGGAAAATGAGATGTGAAATCTGTTGCCTTACATTTCAAAAGTCAACAAAACTGCGTAGTATGTACTTTTTTCCCCCCCTAAACTACCCTTCAACGGGCATTTACCAGGACAATTAATTATGTGATAATTTAAAAGCAAAATGTGAAATTTGTCTTGGAAATAGTTTCACATTAGAGGATTTTAATAAATATTTATAGCAGAATAGTGTAGTAATATTGGTTGTATGAAGAAAACATATGTTAGTAATAAAATACCACCCGTCAGAAATACTGTTCTATCATGTCATTGTTCCCTAGAGAGATGACTAGTTGAAAAATGATTTAAAAAAAATAAGCTTTGAACAGAGAGGATGCTTTTATGGGTGATACAGAACACATTCTTCAAAAAAGGCACATCATTAAAAATGGTACCAGACATTAGGAACATCTGTTGTGTGAAAAAGTAAATTTGGGAAAATCCAAATAATAATGCTCAATGTATAGGCTTTACATAGTGCTTTTTCTCACTTGTTCTCAAAATACTTTGCGAAGGGGAAGAACAACTACCCATGTTAAACTTCATTTTCTAAAATCCAACCACACCAGTTTTCATCTGGCATTTAAATTCGCCTTGCTCATGCTGTGCCATTAATTTTCCGTGGGAGGAAATCTGTCCCAAGGAGTGAAATACAAGCAGGAAAGCATGTCCTTCCATTTCGGGCAGCATTCCTCTGTGTGAATAAAAGCGGGGTGCCAAGCTGACAGCCGTGGCATGTGGAGCCAGGGAGCTGCCATTGCCCAGGCAGCTGGCGTGGAAGCTGCCCTGGCTTTGTGTCAGCCTGTCCCGGGCACATCCTGGTGCCAGGCGCCAGGGATGTGCCGCCTCTGTTCCGGCTTTGACACCTCGCAGGGACCGCCGGAGCTGCCAGAGCTGAGAACCTCTCATGAGCCCAGGCAGGAGGAGGCACCTGTTCCCTTGGCACTGGAGTGAGCCCCCAGTTCATCCCTGCAGTGTGCCCTTAAGTAGCCACCAGGCTCCTCAGTGCTAGCAGAGTGGGCTGGAGCTGGTGGCCAAGGCATGGGATGTGCTGGATTGCAGCTAATGCTGAAGTCGGTGGTTTTCAGCAATGCTGCTGGACTACAGACAGCTGCATTGCATCACGCTGCAGGAAGAGGGTTGTCACAAAAGATGCACCTTCCTTGGAGCCATCCAGATGGGCTGGTACAAAGATACTGCTTCTCTAAAAAAAAAAAATCAGGTATCATCACCTCAATCAATAATTAATTGTACAGCTACCAAATGAGCCGGTTGCCAAAGTGAGTGCGTACTGTGGAGCCTCTGTCTTGCAGGGGTTGTGTTGCAACACCTAGAGGCACTGAACAGTTTGTCAAACTGTTTTTCTTGCAGAAATCCCTTTCAGAGGAGATGATGATTTCCTTTCTTCTCATCTGTGTGTGTGTAGGTCTCTTAAAAGAAAAGAGCAGGTTAGAGAAACAGCTGTCAGGAATGATGTAGTTGATTTTGCTTTAGGGCAAGCTGGTAGACCTTTTGGGCCCCTTTTATCCTTTTTCCTGTAGCTGTAGGTGACCCTAGTAACATATGCATGTGTATTTATCTGTTCTCTCCAGCCTGCTGCATTTTTTCAGCAAAGTCTTTGCTAGTTGAAAGGAGCAGTCCCTTTAAACTCAGCAGCTTTTGGAATCTGTCGGTATAAAAAGACATTGTTTGGTGTGCCTCCTCAAAGATTCCTCCTTAATCCTGATTTTGTGTACTCATCCCTTGGTTGAGCCTTCCTGTCCAGAGGAATTTGAGTTGATTCCCACTCCTTCACAAATGCATGCAGGACAATATGTCAGACTTTCTTGCCTTTTAAGCAATCTGATCAATTCTGACACTTTCCACCTCCATTAAAGAATCCATGTGGTAGTTGAGAACACCCATTAGTGTGAACCAACTCCTGAAACCCCTGAAAGTATTTGCTTTGCTCTGCCATTTAACTGTTTACAAAGCCTAGGGCTTTCCTTCGGATACACATTCAATAGAAGGGAGCAGAGTATTTTATTTTTTTTTTTTCATTGCAGTGTAAATGTGGTTTTGTTGGCTGTGTAGTAGGCAACATGTTGACTTTCATGAGGTTACCCCAATCAAGGACAAATTTGACCAGAAAGTGATACTTTGAGAGAATACAGACAGTCAGAATTTTGGTATGACATTTGGTTTAATGCAGAATTTTTAAAAATCAAGGAAGCAGCTCTCACACAGGGCTATTACTCAAACCATATCCTAGTCATTTCACTTACTGCTGATCCTTCCCAGTTTTGCCTTCATAACTCCACATGTCCAGGCCCAGGCAAGGAATTGCTTAAACATCAATAAAAGTTCCTTGTTTTCTTCTGAAGTGGGTCCTGGAGTTTGTGCTAGTTTTAATGAAGACTTGTCATCTCCAAGGATATTATTGTATCCTGTAATCTCAAGGTATTACTGTACCCTGAATTTAAGGGAAAAAGAATGTAGAATTCCCAAAGCCTTATGTCTCTGAATCAGGCTTTAATTTCTTTTTAGACAGAAAGTGTGATTTCTGGGGAAAGGGACTTGCTAGTTAGTAAGTCTGAAAAGATCTTAACAGTTCCAGTAATTACTCATTTCATCAATCCATCTATATTTAAAGTGAGCTAAACCGAGTTCTTTCCTATAGTGTCTACTTCAAATAATGCTGCTTTACATTTGGAGAGCCAAATAAGGAAACAGAGCATAATCTTACAGGAGTTTCATTCCCTTTCATTTTGCATGGCTCAGACTTGCTGTAACAAGAGCACTTCTTTCTATGAAACCTTTTTAACATATTCGACTAAACAAACTATCTCCTAAAGAAAGTAGGAGCATTTTTTTTTGTGTTTGTGTGTGTGTACGCTTTGCTCTAGCCTTGGCTCTCGAGGACATTTCTGCATTTGTCGATGTACTAAATGAGCGATGCATTTTGGACAGCTTCTGTGTTCTGATTTGTTTTCTTGCGCTTTTTTTGTGTCCCCCTCTTCCCCCTCCCCTTCTTCCCCTTTTCATTTGTCTAGGGGAAAAGAAAAAAGCTCCTCCAGTGTTGTTTCCTGCAAAGACCATTCTTAAGAGCTCGTTGGACAGCGCAGGACTCTTGAAGTGATAGCTAATTGGTGAAAGAAAGGCCTTGATTGTCTTGAGGGAGCTGGAAAGTGCTGCGTGTGCTGCTGAAAGGGACTAGGAAGAAGGTGCCTGGTTTCGCTGAGCAGCTGCTGCTGGAGATGTTTGGAGATTACATCAGCATTGGAAAAGAGGGGCCAAAAAAAAAAAAGTCCAACTTCACAGAGATCGAGTTTATGGAGGTTTTTTTTCCCCCTTCCAAAGGTCTTCTGACAATACTGTCATTGTCAATATAAGAGTTGTTAATTCTTTATGAATAGCACATGGGGCCTCTTGACTAAATAGTACATTACATGTCCCAAATCTGTCAGCTGGACTCTTCTCTCACATGCTAGTGAGATCACTTTGATTGGAATGTTAGAGGAATTGCTGGGCTGGCCGTGCAGAACTGAATACTGCATTATATAATTAGATCTCCCAGAGGTTTTTTTTTTTTTGCATTACCTCATTATTCTAGCTTAAATATGGAATCAGTCCTTTTGATGGTTTTACTGGTTGTAATTATATTAATACGATTCATTTTGTGGTCCTGTCTTAGTGCTTATATAGATTATAAACTGTCCCAAAGGTTTCCTGACACAAAAAAAGAGGACTGAGAGACTTCAAAAGGCTCATTCAGGTTTGAATTGACAATGGGGAGAGCTGGGTAAGGTAAATGGAGCTACAGCAGCTTTTACCTTGGGATCTGATGAGAGAGAAATGACCTGTTGAGACTGCAGCTGAGTGAAGATCCTTCAGAAAGCCTCATGCTGACAACTGATTGAATCAAATGACTTCCTGTCCAACTTGGGCATGAATTTGCTGTTGGGAACAGACTTGTGGACTTCTGCCAATTAAATGATGTGGATAATCTGGAAGGAACCCTCCTGCTGGGCAGTCCAAGAGTGCTCAATGTCCACATGCCATGCTGTGGGCTGGCAGGAGTGGATTTTTACCTGGCTGGTTTATTTGTTACCAAATTCCTCATGGCTCTTCCCAGCCAGTCAGATCTAAAACTGAATGAATGATTTTAGCTGACCATAACCTGCCAAATATTCACATTTCTTAGCAAGTGATGTATATGAGTACCAGTACAAGGTGGATACCACTGGAATAATCTCTTCCATGGAAGACAGATTTGTGTCTCAGGGATTGTCTGATGGACCCTGGCTGTGCTTCAGCACCAACAACGGGTGGGGTGGCACCACAAGTGTGTTTTGATACCAAAGCCCTGCAAGTGACCTTCATGTCTAGCCTGAAACAAGCACCCTACTAGGACACTGGAAGATTTGACTACTTGCCCAAGGACAAAGTGACTTGGGATTTCTTGGTTAATTTACCTGGCAAAAGGAAATAATTTTTTTTCAAATGTACTGTCTTCTTTAAAATAGGTGTTGTATTAAGTCAAACAACCTAAATCTTACTGCAACTCAGTGTAATACTGTCTTTTAAGAACTGAATTTTTCTACAGTAAAGATAGGAAAATTGTATCACCTTGCCCAAGAAATGCACTATCCTTGGCCTAGTCACTCTTCAAAAAAAGTTTTTTTAAAAATCCTTTTTTTTGTTTCATCATTTTCTATCTCATGTGAAAGAGAAGGTTACCACTTCATATACTTATTTTTATATCTCTTGGTAGCTCACATAATGATATCAGAGTCCAGCTAGGTAAAAGCCTACATTATTCCCATACAGTTTCTGGCCCATTCATGACTCACACACTCCTACTCCTACAGGCTTGTCATTAGTAACTGCTCATCAGCCCTTGTAATGTTGTCTTTTAGAGCCTCCTAAAAGTCAGACATGAGAGCTGGTATGTGCTTAGCCAGGGAAGCAGGGTAAATGTCAGGTCAATTGATTTCAGCATCAGATTTTATTTATGGTGGATGACCAATCTACAAAACAGCCTGTAATGCTTGAAGGTGCATGTCATGGGCTTGAAATCCTGCCAGACAGCAATAAATTATATGCAGATGTAACTAACTCCTTGTCTGTTTCTCTGATTCTTAATTTTAATGATAGTTCTGTCCTTTTTTTGTTTTCCCAACCCCAGCAAACCACAAAAGGAAAGTGAAATGTTGTCCACTTGATGTGCAGACATACCTTTTATAACGAGTAACTGGAAAAATAGTGACAGTGATCCATTTTTCTTCTTTCAGTTAATCATCACTATTCTGAGCTGTTTTGTGCAAAACAAAGCTTGTGGAAAAAATGATAGTGCCTTTAAGAAATAAATCTTCTAATTCTTTATTTCAGTCCTATTGAAATTGCATTTGACAGTGTACTGTTTGTATTAATTGTTTAAAAGTGTGGATGTAATGAGAAGACATACAGGTGAAGTTGTGGTTTACTGCCTTTAACGTTTGGGGATATTGGAACTGACACCAGTGCGGAATTCACAACTTTCATTTTTTTATCCCTGCAGGGCAGCATTTCAAGTTTTCCCTGCAAATCAGAGCTTGTAGTCTTGTTATGGACCATACCCTCTGGACTGGATCCCTTGGTATTTATGTACCTAAAACATTTGATTTGGACCTTTTTTTAGTCACATGAGTTGCACTCTGATTATAAGAGTGGTCTGGCCAAATAATATTTGGCATAATATTGCTCTGTGTCCAACAATGGTAAAACTGGCTGCAAAACCAAGCAGTTTGTTAGAACATCCATGTTTTGAGACACATTTAATTAATTTAGTAATCATAAAAATTTTGACTGAAGAGTTAATTTAGATCTTGTTGTCTACTAAACTCCTTATGCATTCAAAGCGGTTTTAACAGCAACTTGTTTAATTTCTCATTGCATTCATGTTGTTGTTATCTGATCCTGCAGGACGTGGGAAGCCATCCTGTTTATCCTGCAATACAAAATTAGGACTATCACACTTTCAGGAGTGCAAAATATAAAGGAGATTGAGATCTTCCTCTTTGCCTCCATAGGTATTTTCCCTCTCTTTTCATGGAGATAAGAAAAATCTAAGCCCCTTAAGTGTGGTATGATGTGAAAGTATCCACTGGTATTTCCTGGTATTTCCTATGGAGCAGTGTGCTGACATTTAGATATTTAAAATATATTTATATCCTCTTGATTTTTTTTTTCATTTAAGGATGTATTTAAAATTAAACAAGTGCTTAATGTCAGTTTTGAGCTGTGGACAGAGTTCATGAAGATTAGCCCCCTTTCAAGACATGAAGTGGAGCCCCCTTTCAAGACATGAAACAAAGGTGTGTGTAAAGAAAGAGAAAAAAAAAAGTGAAATACTGTGATATTAATATCCTTGCTAATGTAAAATCATTTGTATTTTTTATATATTGATTAAAATCTCCTGTATATAAATATATTTGGTATTAATTTATATAATTTACATGCTAAGCAGTGGCCGAAATTACCATGTAACCTACTGAGAAGAAACCCCACTCTTTGCCTTAAGACATTATTGTAAAGAACCTCTAAGATGGGGGAGATATCTATATCTATATCTAATCTATATCTGTCTATATCTATATCTAGATGTATATGAATATCTAGATTAAATAGATCCTATTTATACATCTAAACCAAAAGAAAAACTGTATGACATTTGGATGCAGAGCTGGTCTGTGTTAGGACTGTGCTAATTTATGGTGACCTTTTTTGTAGTACCAATGGTACCAATAAAACCAGATTTACTCCCAAAACAAATAGCCATTTTCAAGTTCTACAACTGACACTTCTCTTTTTTTGTTGGTTTTTTTTTTTTTTTTTTTTTTTTTTTTTTTTTTTTTGTTTTTTTCTTTTTGACCAGGGATAAAACATCTTCTGTGCTGTAAAAACTCAATTGCTTAGAAATATCCCAATCACCTGCAAATGCAATTCCCATCCCAAATCATGTAACGTGCAAAAAGCTGGCATTTTACGGACTCCATTATGGTATGGAGAACTAATTACAACAACTCACAATCATCTGAACATATAATTATTTATTGATTAAAATAATGCCACGATTTCACTTTGTACTGGTACCCACTTAAACAATTCCTGTCAAACCATGTAAACCGGAGCGCTGAACAACTCCCTTAAACGGATCTGGCAATGCAACAGGTGGCCTAATTACTTTAGGTAGGTCCAGTACAGCCAAATTCGGGGAGGAGAAGCTGAAGACACAAGTAGGCTATGACTGACTCTTGCAGAGGGAATCTGGACAGCTGGGGGCCCAGTCCCCAGCTGTTTGCCATGAACTGCCTCCCCATGAACTGGCGCTCGGGGGAAATCTCACAACACGCGTTCCTGTTCTGTGTCACAGCCCTGGAGAGTGGGGAAGTGTTGAGAGTGTCACGCTGTCAGGATTCACGTAGGCACCAAATTGTTGGGCAATTAAATGGCAGAAGTGCTTGGTTGGTTATCAGGGACAGGGAGTTACTCCGGAAATGCGGTTGGATTGTGCTTGATTGTCACCAAAGCGGGTGACCTGATAGGGTGGCCCTTTCACTGCGGGCAGGGCTTATAACAGCATCTACTGCTGAGGCTGCCAGGAACTTCCAGCCCTTAAGGCCTATTTTCAGCTGTTCACAACTTTGTTAAAGTAGCTTTTCAAAGTAAATTTTTCCATGTTTCATTTGGTGTCTGCCTCCGTCTGAATTCTCTTCAGAAGGTTCCAGCCAGAACAGTTTAATGTCTTCCAAGAACAAGACTAGAAAAAAATACATTGTTTTTCCCATGCTACAAAAATGTTGGATTTTTTTTTTTTTCTGAAAAGATGTAATTGTCCCACTCTGTGAGATAATTTTTACTCAGCCCTGTCAGGGATATGTAACTTTTGTTCACATCAAGAAAATCACGTAGCTACCTACCACAGATTCAAGGGGTACAAGATCAGATATGATGTGAGGAAATGAGGATAAGGAAACTTGCAGGGAAATAAAAGAAATTATGGTGAGGTTTTAGCTAAAGAGGATAAGTGGGCCATGCATAGTTAATGAAAGGCAAGCTGGACTGTGCCACGTAGGAGAGAGAACTGGCTCCAGAAGTGAGAGAGAGTGGAGACACTGATGAAATTAGGATGGTTTGGGCTATCAGCAGACAGGACAAAATGGAGTTGGAAATATATGACCTACAACATTCTACGATTCTGTGACTCAGGAGGCTAAGACTTATTTAGCAAACTGCTTTGAACTTGGAATAAAGAGTCCAGGGAACTGTCAAAGGGATAAGAACTGGATAAAACATTTGCTGTATCACTATCCCTTTAGAATATTGGTATAAATCTTGGAACCTAAGTAACATCCTTTTTTTTGGCTGTCAGCAAATTTCTGGTTTTGCTGGTGGAGCATTGCAGGCTGAGCATTTACTGGGCTGTATTAACCAGATGTGACAAAGTTAATACATTAAGAAAGTAATAGAATCAAGGATTTATATGCAATTTTTGCTCTGTTCACTGAGTATCATGACAGCTTCTTTTGCTCATTTGTTGCACAGGACAAGGTGCTCTGGTACTGAAGCTTGCAGGAGCAATGCTTTAAACATCCCAGAAACTGAGTGATAGTCTATGAAATGCAGAGCTCCAGGAAGACTCAAGTTTTGAGTGCAGTGATGAGGAAATTAATTCTTTGTCAGTCATGGAGTTGTAAGTGAAAACACGTAGAGGTACTTATTCCTTGCTTTGTGGCTGTCTACCTGAAGATCCTGGGCCTATTTTGCTTATTTGCTAAATTTGCTATTTGCCTTTGCCAATCACCATAAACTCCAGATTGTCAGTTTAACAAATAAATTAGTACCAGTTTAACAAACTAACAAGTACACTGAAAAATCAAATTCTAAGAATCTGAAGTAAGATGTGTAAAATAACTAGACTCAAAAGGGCAAATTCTTCTATAGTTTGTTTTTTTATTGCAAAATGAGATA